TAATCAAGTACATTTAATTCTTTTTTTAAAAGAAATAGATAAAAAAAATTTTAATTTTATTAAGGTTTAGAAAAATTATAACTAGAAAAAGAAAAAATTCCTAATACATATTACTATCCCTTTATTATTTGTAAACTTTGGATTGTTTAGAGTGAACTCATAATTTACAATTCCATTCATATACATAAATGGGTTAAGGAAGTATACACAAATGGGTTAAGGAAATAATCATTAAACAGTTTCAAATTTTAATAATTTTAACAAAGAAAATATATTTCATAAAAAATTATTAGTGTACTATCAATCATTATAGTAATGTGTATTAAGAAAATTAATTAAATAAAAAGAACTGAACCAGATCCAAGTCAACAGAAAATCCATATCAAATTGACACAATACATTCATCTACCCCCTAGCTGAATGCCTCCTCTTATTTTCATTCAAGAGGCGAATGAAGCATCTATTTGGAGAAAAAGGAAAAGGACGGTATCCTGTCATTTTCATTCAAGAGGCGGATGAAGCATCTATTTGGAGAAAAAGGAAAAGGACGGTATCCTGTCATTTTCATTCAAGAGGCGAATGAAGCATCTACTATGAGAAAAAGGACGGTCTTATGACAAGGCCCTAGCACTCGCCTCCTGCACTCTCCAGCCAACACTTCCCCTTTCATTGGGCCACGTCATTTTAGTTTTTTGAAAGAGGTTACACTTCAAAGCCTCAAACAACATTACGTGGCCCAATGAATGGGGAAGTGTTAGCCACAGAGTGCAAGAGGCGAGTGCCGCATTTATTGTATGAAAAGGGACGAACTCATGATAAGGCCTTTCTGTATGTGAGTCACTGTTTTCAATTCTCCGCTTATAAATTGACCCAGTTGAGTTCTCACATTCCATTCTCCTTAACCTTTCAGCAAATTCTTCACTACTAGTGCAGGTTCTCCAATGGAAAATTCGACGGTGGTTCTCCCAACAAGAGCTCTTAAACCAGATGGGATTGCCTCGGGCAGGGTCAGTGCCTCCAACCAGCACTTTGTTCATCTTATGCCCAGGATTCCACGAAATCAGAAGTCACGACCGTTTGTGGCTAGGGATATGCAGGGGCGCCGCATTTATCACCTTGAGTACAAGAGGCGGATGGTGGGGCTCCGTCGGAAGCAAACAATTACTGGTTTAAGACGCTTCTTTCGAGAGCATGGTTTGCAACCTGGGGATCGAATTACTTTGTACAAGGAGGAGGGCAACGAGATGATATTGATGGGACAACTCATCTCTCCACTCTATGTGATCCACTTTGAGAGGCTTAACGAAGTTGCAGCCGGTGAAGATCCCGCTCCGTTGCGGGCTGGTGATGATCATGCTCCTTGAGGATTAACGAAGGTGTTTTCTGGTAGATGTTTTTTTTTTCTTTTTTTTTTCTTTTTTGGTTTTTTTCACGCCTTGCTGTTGTGGTTTTTCAATAAATGTAATTCTCTGGCCTAAGACGCTTCTTTCAAGAGCATGGCTTGCAATCTGGGGATCTAATAACTTTGTACAAGGAGGAGAGCAATGAGGTTATCTTGATGGGAAACTCGTCTCTCCACTCTTCTAAATATAGAATTCCTAAATCTATTGTCCTCCTTGTATTTACTAATGGTGCCCAAGACTGATAGTGATACTTAAAATTTTGAAGATTTTCTTTCTAATTTTTTAGCTAAAACTATTAAGTAGAGATTAAAAAATAATTTTTATATTTAATAGATTAGCCTTAAAGACTCCTTAATTGTTTTATAAATATTCTATTTTGAACTTAATATAAGATTTACAAAAAATAATAATAACAATGATAATTATTCTCATAAATATTAAAGATATTTAAGTGAATAAAATAAAATTTAAGGATGAAATTGATAAAATATAAAATTTAAGTACAAATGTTGAAACTTTTCAAAAGGCTTGGGGGCCATAGCACCTGTCGTCTTTTCATGGGTCCGCCCCTGACTGGGGCAATACGTTTCTAATTTCAAACTAACTGATTTGACTTAAATTTGATTTTAAAATTTAATTTAAACCGAAATTAATTTAAATTGATTTAAATTAAAAAGTTTTAAATTAACATCATTAATTTGGTTTGTAATATAATTTTTAAATTGACCGAGCTATCCAATTATAAAATAATTTAATTAAATAATATAATATTTTTATTTTTTAACTTTTTGGTAAATATATTTGTTGAATTTTTGGTAAAATAAAATATAATTAACAAATTTTATGCAAATTATATTTAAATTTTGTATATCGTAAGTGAAACAAGAGAAGTAACTTAGGGATTTTAAGAAGAACTTGTTCAAATTCATGATTGTATTTTCAAGCTACAAGTGATCGTTGATCCCTACTACAAGCAAAGGTAGCATTAACCATGGCATTTGGTGAGAGCTCTACAACTAAAAGAATTTGTTGTTTCCTTTTGTAACTTTCTTTTCTAATTGACTAGCTAAAAAATGATTAAGAAACTATTTTTTTTTTACAAATTCTCATGTAAGTTTAGATGTTATTAAATAAAGTGTCTTATGTACCAAAATGTAATAATAATAAATAAAGTTTCTTAATTTACAGTTTGAATTGTATTAAATTATAAAATAAGGGTCATTAGATCAAGGTGGCAGTGGAACACCCAATATCAAGTGCTTATCCCCATCTAATGGTTACAATTGTCCCCATCTAATGGTTACAATTGTCCGTTACAATCTAAACTACATAACATTTTTTTGTTAAATAATTAGGCTTTTTTACTTTATTGAGATCTCTATATTATATACATTTATTTAATAACATATAAAAATTAT